CACTACTTTTTCTAAGATTTTCTCCAGTGTCTTCCTCTAGGGAAGGTAGAGAACTTTGTTGCATTATGAGCCAGTTGGTAATTTGATGGCCAGCCATGGTTGTATTTCTGTTCAGGAGTATGATTACTTCTTGCCTAGCAGATAACATCTGGAAGACGTTCTCAAGGAATAGCTGCCCCTCAAATGTAAACTGAAAATAAAAGTTTGCCCAGTAGGTAAAGGACTGATCAGAACTTCAGATGTGGTTGGGGGATGGGTGGCAGGAGGAAAAGGTTTTGACTCAGGCCTCACACATATAGGACTGAAATTTGTACTAGTGACATCCCCAAATAATGATTATTTTGTGTTTGTAGGTATCAAGTGTTAATTTGTTAAATGTAAACATTAAAAATATGCTGTAATTTGATCTCTTGTCATTTATTTTTTAACATATGAAGAGATTTTCAAAAGAGAAGTCACCCTGATCTGTTGTGACACTGAAAGGCAACTTTGAATAGTAATTATTCTGATTTTTAAAAAGTTATTCAACCAGTATTTCATTATGTTGTATTTCATTAGGTGCGGATTTCAAGTTCAATTCTGAACTAAGCAAGTAAAACTCTTTCTCTGTCAAATTGTCTTAGCATTACTAAAAATAATACTTTGCATTTTGCATTGTGCCTTGTGGGGTTTCAAAGCCTTTTCATAAGGCTTTGATCTTTGCAATAACCCCTTTGACAGGTGAGGTGAGTATTTGTTTCTCTACATTCCAGGCAAGGGTATGCCTTTTAATGGGGATGATTTTATTTGCCTTAAAATTTTCAGAGAAGTTGATGAGAGTTTCAACAGTATGAGTGAGTAGAAGCACCCATTTGCATGTGATGTGTGATTGAAATATAAAGTGTTTAAAACCAAATATGCACCAGTGTTTGGACTAACAGGAGCATCAAGGGAGTGTATGGAGGGAGCTAACATCCCCATGTTCTTCATCAGCATCTTCTATTGTTTTTGGCATGACTAATTAATGTTTTCTGAGTTTTTTGAAGTGTCACATAAAAGCAGCTTCAATGCCCCATTTAACACCAAAGTCCTCCTGAAGAGATACCTCAGAATCAACACTGGCCCTTTTCTGCTCACTTTGGCTGCACCTTGCTTTTTTAACTCTAGCTAGTCTTGTCTTGACTTTTCTGAGACTGCATTTTTAATCTTTAGTCTTTAAAATCAAGGATTCGATTTTGGTCTTTGAGATAATTCCACCTCTATGAGTCTTCCATGATACACAACATTATACATTTCTAATATCCAGGAACAGTTTTAGTTAGTATCCTTACCTATAAACTGGGCCTTATCTAATTTGAGAAAGAAAAGAAATCATAAAGATTACTTTAGAAAGGGATTATGTGACTGGTAACAGGCTTTGCTACTCCATGTTCTATTTGCAGGAAGTAGGGGAGCAGAATCCACAGTCTTTTGGTGAGTTGGTGCCATGTAACTTTGAGATTGTGATTAGTATGCAGAGACTTGATTGTTGTACTCTCAGAAAAGTAATTTGACCCCTTATTAAGCAGAAAATAAGGGGTTCCTGTCCTCCAACCCTGCCAAGACAAAAATGATATTCAGGAAGCCATGAGCAGCTGGAGAAGAGATAGCGTGGCCAAAGGTCTAATGCCATTTGTCACAAAACACCCCCTTTTGTGAAAAACCATCAATTGAATAAGAAATGGTGTGGCCAAAGTTCTAATGCCACCTGTAAACAGCCCATTTTAGGGAAAACCATCTTTATAGGTAAGTAGATCCAATCTACACCAACCAGTACTCCAGGAAAAAAAACATTTTTAGCCTCAATTTAGAGCCAATATCCTTTAAAATGAATCTTGAGTCTACAAATATCTTTTGAACACTCATTTTATACAAGATGCAGTGCTTGGTACTGTGGGAAAAAGTCCTAGAAGAGATACCCTGTGCTCTAAAAAAGACCTATTCATCTAGCAAGCTATTAAGTTTTTGTGCAAATAAGAAGTGTCTAAAGGTGCAAGTGTGCCAAACTGAAGAAATGGCACCATCTTAGTTCTTCATAGTATTCAATTTTATTTTGGTCCATTAAGTGATGCTATTTTTGGTTACCTGACATATTGTTCAGCATTCCCCATGATACAGAGTGGAGAACTAATACAACTGTAATTCATCATTTCCCCTGGGATGGTTCCCTTGGGATAGTTAGATAAAAACTTCTGTCCTGGTCAGCTGCAAGTGCAAAGATGGTAGAGAAGCTAGTTGCTAGTTTTCAAAGTGCCATGAAGTCAGAGGGGAGAGCTCCGACAAAGAAGGCTGAAGCCACAGCTCTCAGGTTTTGCTGCCCACAGCTTTCTGCAATCAGCACATGGAGACTATTCTAACAGTGATAGAAGATGGATGCACCAAAGCAGAAAACAAATGGGTTGGTTGGGGTTGGGGGGAGCTCAAAGAAGACAGTCCTGACAGCAAATCTAGCAGCTAAATTCAAAGTAAGCAAACCTGCCAATGCCACTCACTTGAAAAAAGTCTGCAAGAGCAACCAAAGCACCCAAACATGATAAGTGAGATCACAGGAACAGGATCTTGTGTGCTGAAAGGAAGTTTGGGGGTTAACTTCTGTTGAGGGTAAATTTGAGTGATATTTTACTTACGAGCAGAAATCCGTTTTTAGTGCTGAGAAAGTGAGCTCTAACAGTTCCTTTGGAGTAGTAAGAAGGAAGCTCTTCTCTGAAACACTGCATCAAGGACAGGACCAAGTCTAGTGGGAAAAAGAAAAGTTTCTGGGTTGCCCTAAAAATGACATGAAAACAGCATTGGGGAAGGGACGAGATGAGGGGTATGGGTGAAGGTGAACAGCCTAGGAAGGACAGGTTGTTTAATTGGAAGAAACCGGGGGCCTGCGTTATACCTATTTTCTGCTATCTAGAAATCAAAGCAGCAGCATTAGAAAAAGACATCCTCGTTTCCTTTTTGCACTGACTGTCAAGAAGCTCAAAGCTGCTTCTGAACCTTTATCTCATCAACAGCAAATATGTCAGTAGAATATAATAATATTTTTATGGCACACTGGATTGAAAAAGGCTGCTGTGGGGCCAGAGGGTACTGCTGAGGGCTCCTGGGAATGAGCATCTAAGGAATGTCAGGATTCCATCAGTGGCAGTTGATGGACACACACAAGTTAGAAGATTCTGAATTACAAATTGGCCAATGTGTCTATATATTATATATTATGAATTGACCTATTATATATGTATGCATATATGCTATATATTATCATAGTTTTAAGCCCATATATTGGTCCATATTTTTGTAGCACTTGTTCTTTCCTCAGATGGCTTTGTATTTTTTATTTCTCTTTACATTATCTTACTTGATTTTAATTTCAAATTACTCAGTTATCTTTCAGGTAACATGTGGAGTACAAATTTAAAACTGTATGCATATTACTTTTTGTGTTTGCTGTGTGCCAGGGCTTATGATTTTACTGCTGTAAACCCACAGCAATAATAATAATCCTGCTTCTTGGCAGGGTGAGGAAGCCAGCCCTTTTGAGGACTGGATGAAATCACTTCAAATAAAACATTTAGCCAATGCGTGACACCTAGTAGGTGGGCTTTACACGGTAGACTTAATATTTTTTCCATTTAATATTCTCAATTTCCCTTTGTAGGGAATTGTGGGTATAAGAAAAGGCAAGCTTCAAAGAGAGAAGGGCTGACCCCAACCACACAGATAGAAGACACTAAGAATTGGGAATGCTTCCTGGCTTCGAAGCTTGTGTCCAAAACGTCTATCCTCTAAGGGACCCTTGCGTCCTGTCATGGGTTGAACGCGAGGATTTTTGTGCTGTTCCCAGGGTCTCCCGAGAGCTCTCCTAGCACCGACCTCCTTGTGCTCGGTGTCCCCTGGCCCAAGGACCTCAGTGGGGTGGCGGAGAAATGCAGGGGATAGACAGAACCCCGTAGCCCGGCTCTGTCGGCCGGAAGTGGATTCGGGGAAGGGAGACGGAGGGCGGGGGCAAGATTGCCCAGCGAAGCCAACAAGGGGGAAGGGCAGGGTAGTGGCCACCTCACCTGCTCCTTCAACAACCTCCCGGGAGGCTTCAGGAACGCTCATCTCTTTTTCTTGATGAACAACGCAGGTGGTTTGCTGAATTAACTGTTCCCACCCAAAATACTACGGCTTTTTAGCTAGATTGGCGCAGACTGGGCATTAAATCCAGCATTTCCCCGGCAATGCGGAGCTCTCTCTCAGCTGTGTGGTGCCTCCGCGCTCCGATCGCGGGCCGGGCGCCCGGGGAACCGCCCCCGAGGGTAGCTCGGCGGCGGGACTGCGGCCCCTCCCGGAGAGCCTGCGTGCTGGGGCTCTCCAGCTTGCTGCCCGCCGGCCAGGAAAACTCTCGGAAGAAGCTGGAGCTGGCGGAGGTTCCCATCCGGTCACCTTTCCCGTCTGATTTCCTGAGCTGACGGTCACTGACGGCTGTCGGGGACCCGCGGTGCCCTGTGCGAAGGGACAATTTCCAGCTAGCGGCTGGATAGACCGCAACACCCGGAGCTAGACCGCTTGCCGCTTTAAACAGTTTTTAAAAATGCGGTTATGCTTGTATCTTTATGAAAGCACACGGATGTAGTTATACGTATGCATTAAAAAATACAAACAGTTCTGCATTGATTGCCAAGATGCGCTTTCTGGTGGCAATGGAAACCATTTAGTTTGAGACTCGTGATGACACACGTGAACTGAGTTGCCAAACTCATAGAAACTCCACATGGCAGATCTGTACATTGTATCGCGCGTTAATTGTACATCAACTGAAAAACCAGAACATAGATGAAAAGTACTGAGTGCCCTGCCTGCACGCACGTCTAAGAGCCGCTGAGATGCGGCTGTAGATGAGCATATTTACAGCAATCAAGCGCCGCTCTGCCGGGTGGATTACTCACTCAGGCTTCGCGCCGCTGGGAGAGCGATGGAAAGGCAGCTGACGTCACTTGGGGCGGGGCCCGGAGTCCTGTGAAAAGTCGGTGGGACTCGAGTAGCAGCAGCGGCTGCCCGCACAGCCTCGCCATGAGCTGCCGCAACTGCTCCCAGCCCCAGGTCCTTTGCAGCTCCGAGCAGCTGTTCCTGCAGCCCCTCTGGGACCGCGTGAGGAGCTGGGAGGCCCTCATACTGTCGCCCTTCTTCCCGGTCATCTTCTCCATTACCACATACGTGGGCTTCTGCCTGCCCTTCGTGGTGCTGGACGTCCTGTGCTCCTGGGTGCCCGCGCTGCGGCGTTACAAGATCCACCCGGACTTCTCGCCGTCAGCGCGGCAGCTGCTGCCCTGCCTGGGGCAGACGCTCTACCAGCACGTGATGTTCGTGTTCCCCGTGACGCTGCTGCATTGGGCCTGCAGCCCGGCCCTCCTGCCCCACGAAGCCCCTGAGCTGCTCCTGCTGCTGCACCACGTCCTGCTCTGCCTGCTGCTCTTCGACACGGAGTTCTTCGTGTGGCACCTGCTGCACCACAAGGTGCCCTGGCTGTACCGCACCTTCCACAAGATGCACCACCAGAACCCCTCCTCGTTCGCTCTGGCCACGCAGTACATGAGCATCTGGGAACTGTTTTCCTTGGGCGTCTTCGACATGGTGAACGTCACGCTGCTCGGATGCCACCCGCTCACTGCCCTGACCTTCCACGTGCTCAACATCTGGCTGTCCGTGGAGGACCACTCCGGCTACAACTTCCCTTGGTCCACTCACAGACTGGTGCCCTTCGGGTGGTACGGGGGCGTGGCGCACCACGACCTGCATCACTCTCTCTTTAACTGCAACTTTGCCCCGTACTTCACACACTGGGACAAAATTCTGGGAACGCTGCGGCCTGCATCTGTCCCAGTGCAGTAATGTGGCTGCGGTGGGTGCCCCTAAGACTCGGGACTGCCTTTCATACTTGAATTAAGAGAAACACCTGAGCGGTATATTAAGCAACTAACTTATTAACCGATGAAAACCATAGATAAAACCTGATGTATTTTTGTAGTCTGACAAAGCAATTTACGTAAGTTTTCTGTATCAATACAATTTTGTGTTCTTGGTATTCGTAGTCTAGCTCACTTCAACAGCCTTGAATCCTGGATGTGAAAAAGACATTCATCACAGACATATTTAGAGTATCTCTAAAAGGACTTGTTTGTGGAATAAAGAATTTCCTATGTTTGAAAGTGTTCTAAACCTGTCTAAAAGAACTTATTTTTATGGATGACTCTAAAAACAGTTGAACATGTTTCTGCTGGACAGCAGCCGAGATTAGAGTGCCTTTTTATGTTTTTTATAGAACTGTATATTTATTTTGAAAGAAATGTTTTTCATGCTTTAAAAAAGAAAAAAAGAACACGTGTTGACTTGCATTTCATTGGCATTTTGACTGATTAAAATGGGAAGAGGGAGTGGGGATACCAAGTGTCCTTCTAAGCCTCCATCAGCCTTACCAAGGAAAGAGGGGAATCTGGGTGTAGGGTATTTTGTCGGGGGTTGTTGGAGAGAAGGAGGCAGGAGAAGGGGGTCTGTTTGTCGTTGTCCTCTGGAAATTTCATGGAGGAAAAATATGCTAATGTTCCTGATGCTTTCAGCTCATTTCTGCATAACAGGCAAATGATAGGATTACTCTGTAAAGTTTCATAGAGAGATTAACACTGAGCAATCATTTTATTATTTGTGAGAAAGGATTGATTAGGGGAGGAACAGAATTGGCGGCATGCCTTGTTTTGCAAAACTTTTAAGTCAATTGCCTACACTAGAGTGGCTGATAGATACAGAAAGGGATTCTGAGGAAGCCCCTGTTTTCATGAAGCCATCCTTAGCTACTGCAAATGACCATCAAAACATTGCTTCTGAAATATGGAATTTTTGTATATTCAGTTTTCTTAATTAAAACATACATGCAACAGGTACAGCCCTTTCTAAAAGAAAGATAAACTGAAATTTGGCCCTGGATCCCTGGTTTTTCGTCTAGAAAAGGGGAAAGTGTCCCACGTGTTCTTGTAGGTGGCAGCAAATGTTCCTATTACTAACTACACACCCAGCATCCATCATGTACCCCATCTAACTCCTGCCTATTCATTTTAATTTTGTTTTTGGAATATAGTTTATACATGTAAAGTTAAAAATCAAGACAATTTAGACAAAACAAAGAATGGCAGCTGTGTAATTCTTGGCTCGTTATATTCAAACAAAATTGTCATGTTTAAAGGTAAAACATCCATCTAGAGACCTGGTCTCCACAGTCAGCCAAATGAGACTCCCAAGAAACATGGTTAGGCCCTCCAAATGTTTGGCAGAATGCGCCCAGAAGGTGGAGCTGCACAGACAGTTTTCCCATGTTCCCTTCAACGTGTGTGTTCCTTTAGCTTCTTGACTGAAGTTACGTCTTCCTCTGCCCGTATCAGGATCAGGCTGGGATTTAAAGATGACATTGATTTATAAAAGTGAAATCCATGAAAAGAGGAAGTGAGATGTGAGGGGAAAATGCTACGTTGGCGGTAGTAGATTATCATCATGTGGCGCCTGGAGGAAGAAGAGAAGGATAAACAGGCAGATGTGGAATCTGTGGTGCAACTATTAGTTGGAAGCAGTGTGGGCACCCAAAGGTTGCCCTGTAAATCACAGATAGTGACAATTTATCACAGCTTATCCTCAGAGAACTGTAAACATGCATCATGTTGCATCATTACATAAGGGAATTTTAGATTTGGGGCAAATTATACACATGGAAACGGCACAATTTGGATTTAGAAACACTTTCTCACAATCAAATGTCTTAATAGTTTTTAATGCCTTGGGATGTAGAACTGGGAAAGTGGAGAAATGAGAAATTTTTCAGATAACTTGAGAACCTATTAATAAAAACGGTAAAGAAGAAGTTCATATGTGCATGCGCTTTCACGTAATTTCTCACTTGCTCCTTACAACACCACCATAAGAGATGTAGAATAGTTATCACCATCATCATCATCATCCTATGTTATGGATGGAGGATTGGTACCCACATAGGTTAAGTACCTTTTTTCCAGGCTACAAAATATGAGGAGTGGGAGCCAGTTCTACTAAACTTGGGTCTGGTAGTGTATACTGTGCTTCTCTTTTTGATAACATAACTGTCAGAGAGCTGCAAACCCTGCAACACCAACAAATGGCCTCCCTCCATTGTTCCTCCTTTGTTACTACCTCTAAAACATTGTTACCCTGGCCCATGACTTCACTTTCACATGGCTGCCAAAGCCCCTGCCTGGGTAGAAGAGAAAGCCAGGAGAGGTGGATCAAGGCCAGTCTAAGCAGGACTTAGGAGAACAGGAGGCAGGTCAAGGTCTGCGTTTTCTGCATCCTTCATTGCACCCACATTACAAACCCAACTACTGCAGCCAGCTTACCTGGGTGGGAATCTGGGTTCTGGGACTTACTAGCTGAGTGACTTTGGACACGTTATTTAACCTCTCTGTGCCTTAGCTTCCTTATCTGTAAAATGTGGATGATCACAGACCCTCCCTTGAAGAGCTGTTGTGAGGGATTTTTGAGTTACTAGGAGCAAAGTGCTAGATGAATCTGAAATCTGACTGTAGTGTTTGCTGTGACCAATGCTTCCCAATGTGAGCACTAGAACTGCAGTTCAGAAGGGTAAGCTTTTTGTTCACAAACATGGTTGTGCTCTTTCATCTTCCAGGGAACCAAATAAAGCCAAGTTGTCGATTCTGCTTCCATCACAAGCTGCTTCTCCTAGCATCCTTTCAAGGCAAAAGTTTTGAAAAGAGACAGAAATCTATTTTGTTTGATTTGACTTCCTTACCTGTGAGTCATTCTACTCCCACTCCTCTGGAAACTTTTGCTCTGGGTTGCCTACTAATTTTCTAATTACCAAATCCAGTAATTTTTCCCCCTTTGGTTTTCTATTTTCTTGGCTTCCATTTTTTGAAGGAATTTGCTATTGCAAACCAACTCTCGTAGAATGTGGCTTTAGTGAGGTTTCTCTCAACTCCTTTCCTTCCTCATTCTCCAGCTGTTTCTTATCTCTTCAATGGCTCCTCTCACCACAATAGGAAGGCAAGCCTCAAGGTGCTTCTCATTTTACTAAAAAATACCTGTATTGCATATAATTAATATCTTTCCTACTCTCCTTATGTACTCTATACGTAATGTGTGTACATGTGTATACTGACATACGCCATGTATGTGTGCACATGTACATAACACGTAAACATGCACACACTACACACAAACTATATAATGATATGCTAGATGTATCATACATGTATGATACATGCATTTATACACAATGTACATATACTGTGTATATGCACATATGTATAAGCATACTGCTATATATGGTATGCACTATATGTACATATACCATATATGTAAACATGTAAAAACCTGCTATATTTGTACTACATGTGTACACACACACACTATACCTCCTTTTCTCTTGCCCTTCACATACATAAACACAAACACACAACTATTTTTGTCCTATCTGCAATTTATCTCTGCCTCTAGTACTATGTCCAGTTCTTAATAAACATCGGTTCAGTGTTGCCTGAATCCTGGAAGAACTGGAAGCATACCTTTGCCATTAATCAAAAGGACGAGTTCATGTCCTTTGCAGGGACATGGATGAAGATGGAAACCATCATTCTCAGAAAACTGACAACAAGAACAGAAAACCAAACACCACATGTTCTCACTCATAAGTGGGTGTTGAACAATGAGAGCACATGGACACAGGGAGGGGAACATCACTCATCAGGGCCTGTTTTGTGGTGGGGGGCTAGGGGAGGGATAGTAGGGGTGTGGGGGGCTAGGGGAGGAATAGCATTAGGAGAAATACCTAATGTAGGTGACAGGGTGATGGATGCAGCAAACCACCATGGCATGTATATACCTATGTAACAAACCTGTATGTTCTGCACATGTACCCCAGAACTTAAAGTATAATAATTAAAAAATCATGCATTTCTCATCCATTCCTTCTTATTCTTATCCATCTTCCATCACTAGTCAATCCCAGATTTCTAACTCTGGCCACGTTCACAACCCATAGTCTCTGTTCTAGAGGAGGTCACAGTATACTGGGAAAGAGAGTAGGGCAAGCAAATGCTTTTAATCTAATGTGGCCAGTGCTGTAATGGAGGATATTAACAGGTTGTTAAGGGAGTCCAAAAAGAGATGGATCATTTGAGCTAAATCACAAAGAATTTTTGTGTCTTCACTAAGCAGACTAAAAAGGGCATACCTTGCAGAAGAAACGGCAGTTGCAAAACTAGAGAGGAATGAAAGGACTTGACATTCTTGAAACAAGTCAAGAAGCTCCAAGCACTGAATGAGTAAGGAAGAAATTTGTCCAACATTCAAGGCATATCTCCAACAAGGCAGTTAGGGCCTGGAATTGGGTCCCAGCAACAAGTATTTGTTGTCTTGCTTCTTCACAAGCCATTAAAACTTTTTAGAACTATTGGCTCATCTGCTTATGTCCCAGGGCTTTTCACAAATTGCAGGTAAAATTGCTCTAAAACAAATGTTAGAGCTTGTTACTATTTGTTGATTTATAATAAATAGACAGATAAATGCACTGAAACCTGGATTTGGGCAATTAAGAGAGTGAGGAGGGTGGGCCACAGATTTCAAGCAAGGAATAATGCTAGACCTGGTTCAAGAAGGTAACTGGCAGCAGCGAACAGTGGCAGTGAGTCCAGGTAGGAGACTGTTGCAAGTTCTGCCTGGATTCCAGTCTTATGAACTGGCTCCACTGCTTATGAACTTCGTGATTTTGAACAAGTTTCTTATTGACACTTGGTGAGTATCAAGAATGCAGTTATTGGACACTACTTAGAAATTGCTGCAATCAATATTCTTTGCTAATCATTTGCATAAACCCAACATAAATAGTTCTGATGACTTGTAGCAACTTGAATGATGTGTTTATTTCAAATTTTGCTAAGATCTACCCTGCAACATACTTTCGTGGGTAGAAAGTGTGAACATTGTTTTTATTCCTGTGAGCTCTGAAAAGCTTTGTCTAAAAAATGTTTTAAAAAGTCTTCACACAATGGAATATGACTCAGCAATAAACAGAAAAAGATGATTAATACATGCAGCACTAAGGATGAATCCTAATTATGCTGAGTAAAAGAAGCCAGACAAAAAAGAGTATTTACTATATAGTTCAATTCATATAAAACTCCAGAAAATGCAAATGAATTCATTGGGACAGAAAGTAGATCAGTAGTTGTTTGGGGAAGGGAAGGGCAGCAAACATGAATTACCAAAGGGGTATGAGAAAACATTTAGTAATGAGGGATATGTTCACTATCTTGATTGTGGAGATGGTTTCACAGGTGTATACA